TAAACCCCAAAACCCTAAGGCCGTGTTTAACCCAAATGAAACCCCAATGGACAGCTAAACTCTGTGCTCTACTACGCCGTTGAACGCCCTGAACCCTGGTAGCGCCCCCCCCTGCAACCCTGCAACCCTAAACCCTAAACACTAAACCCTAAACCCTAAACCCTAATTAAACCCTAAACCCTAAACCCCAGAAAAAGGTCGGCTCTTTCCGGCGAGGAGCGCTCCATGGCTTCCGAGGACTTCGCCAGAAGCGCCCGGTGGCAAGGAAGGTCCGGGCCGTCGTCGCCTTGGGGGTGTTTAGGGTTTAGGGTTTAGGGTTTAGGGTTTGGGGTTGCCGTCTCTCCACACGGTTCGGGGGCGTTTAGGGTTTGGGGTGTTTGGGGTTTAGGGCTTCGGGTGTTTATTGGGTTGTTGGGGTGCTTGGGACTTCTTGGATATGGCTGGGGTTTTCGAGTTGTTTGGGGGCTTGTTTGGGTGTTCAGGTGTGTGAGGGTTTAGAGGGAAAGCCAGTGAAGGAAAGCCCTGGCGAAACAAAACCCTAAATCCTAAACCCTAAACCCGAAAAACCCCTGTGGGGCTGAGGCAGCTGGGCCCATTCGATGGTTGACTCTGTTAAAAATAGCAAGAACAAACACATTGAGAGTTCTTTCCAAGTACCGTATTACCAAATGTAATCTAGGTTGCCCAGTAACCTAGGATTAAAAAGGGTACCTTTTTTGGCGTACAGGTGTTTTTAAGGAAACCTAAACCCCCCAAAAAGGGAATAAGGGCACTACTGGGCATCCTTGTAATAAGGTGTGTTGAGTGTGTGTGTGTGTGTGTGTGTACATGGATAACCCTAAACCCTGAACCCACTCGCACGGTTTCCCCTGTATCGCGCTAGTATCTGTATAGACGTGCCGATGATGTACCACATCAGCATGCACAGAAGAAAAAACAATGGTTACCACACAAAAATGTGATCAACCCATATATATATATATATATATAACCCCTAAATAAATAAATAAATAAATAAATATATATATATATAACCCCAAAATAAACATATATATATATATATACATACCTTATATAGTCCCTGAGTACTTACATAGCCCGTAAATAACCCCGAAGGTCCCTGATAAGGGTCCCTCCTTGGGTCCATTGCGGTTCAGGCGCCGCAAAAGAAAAAGCACAGCTGGGGCAAACCCTAAACCCTAAACCCTAAACCCTAAACCCTAAACCCTAAACCCTAAACCCTAGGAAGCACAGCCGGGGGCCGGCACCCGCGCGGATGGCCATGTCCGTGAATGTCCTCGGCAGGATGCAGGGTTTAGGGTTTAGGGTTTAGGGTTTAGGGGTTAGGGTTTAGGGTTTAGGGTTTAGGGGTTAGGGTTTGGGTTTAGGGTTTAGGGTTTAGGGTTTAGGGTTCAGGGTTCAGGGTTCAGGGTTTAGGGTTTAGGGTTTAGGGGTTAGGGTTTAGGGTTTAGGGTTTAGGGTTTATTTAGGGTTCAGGGTTTCGGGTTTCGGGTTTAGAACCTGGGCTGGGGATCTGGGTGGGAATTTAAGGGCCTGATGGGAACTTAGGGATAGTTAGAGCTCTAGTACTCAGGGTGTTCAGGGCACATAGGGTTTTGGTTTAGGGTTTAGGGTTTAGGGTTTAGGGTTTAGGGTTTAGGGTTTAGGGTTTAGGGTTTAGGGTTTAGGGGTTTAGGGTTTAGGGTTTAGGGTTTAGGGTTTAGGGTTTAGGGTTTAGGGTTTAGGGTTTAGGGTTAGGGTTTAGGGTTTAGGGTTTAGGGTTTAGGAAGTTTAGGATTTAGGGATATCATGAAATATACTGAGTTAGATGTTCTGTTGCAGCAGCTTCGTTTTAGGACATTTGTTGGGGTTGAGGGCTTCGATTCATCTACAGCCAGGCTATGTAACCCGACTGGAGGCAGCACTTGAAGATTGCATGTTCAGGGCTAGGGTTTAGGGTTTAGGGTTTAGGGTTTAGGGCTAGGGTTTAGGGTTTAGGGTTTAGGGTCGACGTATAGGCTTTTGGGTCGATGTGTAGGACGCAGGGCTTAGGGTGAAACATGGGAAGACTGTGGGGCCCAAATGTGTTGCCCGAACAGAAGGGGGGTTCCCAAAAATCAGGGGGCCTCCCCCCCACCCACCTCCGCCGTCCTCCCTCAACGGTGTGGCCGCCTACCCTAAACCCTAAACCCTAAACCCTAAACCCTAAACCCTAAACCCTAAACATCCTCCTCCTGGCCCTGATGTGCCATTCGATACAGGCCTTCGGTGCGACATCTTGTCGCACCCTGCTTCATCAAGGCCAGGTCATCCGGGTTTAGGGTTTAGGGTTTAGGGCTTAGGGCTTAGGGTTAGGGTTTAGGGTTTAGGGTTTAGGGTTTAGGGTTTAGGGTTTAGGGTTTAGGGTTTAGGGTTTAGGGTTTAGGGTTTAGGGTTTAGGGTTTAGGGTTTAGGGTTTAGGGTTTAGGGTTAGGGTTTAGGGTTTATCTTCGTGGCCATGTCCTTCTCCGTCCTGGCCTTTGTCGTCGTCCAAACCGAGAAATACGAGACCCGAGAGTAGCCTGCGAACGAACAGTGTTTAGGGTTGAGGGTTTGGAGTGACCCAAGAGTCAGCTAGGAATAGGGTTTAGGGTTTAGGGTTTAGGGTTTAGGGTTTAGGGTTTAGGGTTTAGGGTTTAGGGTTTAGGGGCTTATAAGGGGAACCTACTCTGGGCCGTAGCCCCCTCTGTATACCAAGTCAAAGGGTTTAGGGTTTAGGGTTTAGGGTTTAGGGTTTAGGGTTTAGGGTTTAGGGTTTAGGGGTTCAGGAGTTTTGGGCTTCATAAGGTTTGTTTATACAGTTTGCTCAGAAGGACCCTCCGCTTTCGCCTCCTCAATTGCTCAGTAGGGTTTAGGGTTTAGGGTTTAGGGTTCAGGGTTTTTAGGGGTTTAGGAGTTTTGGGCTGAATAAGGTTTGTTTATACAGTTTGCTTAGAAGGAACCTCCCCTTTCGCCTCCTCAATTGCTCAGTAGGTTTTAGGGTTTACAGTTTAGATTTTAGAGTTTAGGGATTGGGGTTTAGGGTTTAGGGAGAAGGGGTCAGCACTGAGCGGCATGTCCCGCCAGAGCTCCTTCCCGAAATCCAACTGCCTCCTTCGCTTCCTCGCAAGACACCACCCTAAACCCTAAAACCCTAAGCCCTAGGCCCCTTAGGGGCTGAATACCCTAGTCCCAAACAAAGGGTTAACCTTTTAATTCTTTATTACCAAAAGGTTAAAGGTACACAGTCCCTCAAGCCCTAAGCCTCAACCCTCAACCCTCAACGGCCCTGAAACCTTCTCTTCTACTTGGAGGTTCATGGGACCTTTTAACCGATCATGCACTTGCAACTCTCACTCATAATAACCCGTTAGGGCCTTTAAGGGGCTTACAAGTGGGGTTATAAGTACAGCTATCATTGGTTGATCAGTACCGCCTTGAACCTCCAAGTGCTTGCAAAGTCAGAAGGAGCATGTCCCGCTATCCTAGGGGGAACTCAAGGGATGACACCCCGTTCAAGGCTACCTACTCTACTACTAAGAGAGCAGAACCCATGAACCTACGTAGCAGGTTAGGGTTTAGGGTGTGGGGTTTAAGGCTTTCTGGGGGGGGGGGGGGGCCTAGGGCGCCCCGCACGGTGATTGTTGCTTCAGATGGAATAGCGGATAGCGGGCCTTCTTTTGATCATACATGTGAGAGTGCTAGTTACCTGCATGGGGCCCGGCAGTCAGTACCAACGGCTGCAACCACAACCCGAAACGACCCTTAAGAGCCCGAAACTTCGAGACACAAAAGTTCGGATCCTGAAGCCTTGGGTTATCTAAGGGTTTAGGGTTCAGGGTTTGGGGTTTGGGGTTTAGGGTTTAGGGTTTGGGGTTTAGGGTTTAGGGTTTAGGGGTAGTTTCATGGTCCCTTCATATGGGCCCTTACAAGGGGACCCCTTATAGGCCCAAGACAAATTGAGGGCCCGTACTTCAGAACCCTCGAAGGGAGGTAAGGGACCACATTTAGAGCCCATGTAACTACCCTTAGAGATTAGCTAACACCAACCCCCAAGCAATACACAAGGGATTGTAGTAGGGTTTAGGGTTTAGGGTTTAGGGTTTAGGGTTTAGGGTTTAGGGTTTAGGGTTTAGGGTTTAGGTTTAGTGCATCGGGGCCCGATGACTTCTTTCAACCCTGACAGGGTTAGCCATCGCTGAAGTGTCGGGGTCCTTGGCGGCTCGTAGCCGACCTGGGGAACACGTCGACTCGACGGATTCTCCGTTTAGGGTTTAGGGTTTAGGGTTTAGGGTTTAGGGTTTAGGGTTTAGGGTTTAGGGTTTAGGGTGTTTCGGGACCTTTTAGGGTTTAGGGTTTCGGGCTTCGGGACCCTAAACCTTAGATCCGAAACCCTGAAGCCTACAGTTTTTGGCTTGAAGAACCCTATGCCTCTCAAGCCCTGAGCCTCAGCCCGAAAAGCTTACAGCCAACCGTGTTCCAAACGAAGCGGCGAAGACCCGGGAGAGTAGGCTTGGATTTCGCGAGTTCAGGACCTTCTTGGTTCACGCTAAGTCGGCGTATGGTTCAGGGGTTCGGACTTAGGCTTTAGGGTTTAAGATTTAGGGTCTTCCCTATTGAGAACCATCATGAAGAGACTATGATCAATCTCCCCTTGGGCTTTTCAAATGAGCACGAACAAGACAGGCACCTGAGGGAACTCTTTAGGGTTGAGAGGGGCGAACGACTCTGCCTTCAAACTAGCCTTGGGGACCAAATGAACCCTAACAGGGTTTATGGTTCAAAAACCTCCACAGGGACTTTTGCGGTATCGGGTATGTGACCCAAATGTTGGAGGGTCATTGCGTCCCCAAGGAAGTTCCCCAGTACCCCGGCAAGGTCCCGCATTTCGCTCCTCCTGCACAGGACCTGACGCGACCATCCACGCGACCATCCACGCGAAGTTCGCAGTGGCTGTCATGGCTGTGAACCAGTGGCGCGTCTCACATGTCGGCAAACCTTGGGAAACAAACCCTAAAATTGGGGCCATCTGGCCTATACTCCTCATCCCTGTAAACGAATTTACCGTGTTCTTTCGTTTACAAATTAGTTTTACTGCTCTGAAGGCTTTCGGACCATAATTCAACCCTTTGAGGGTTCATTTGCTCCCTAAACCCCAAACCCTAAACCCTAAACCCTAACCCCTAAAGTACTAAACCCTAAACCCGAAACCCTAAACCCTAAACCCTAAACCGTAAACCCTAAACCCCAAGGAACATGTCGAGGTCCAGATCCGCTGCGGAAGGTTCTGCTTTGTCCGCCGGCGCAGCGGGAAGGGCACAGTCTTCCGACGCCAAGTCGCCTGCCTCCTCATCCTCCATGATTTGCTTCAGAACCCCGAAAATTAGGGTTTAGGGTTTAGGGGTTTAGGGTTTAGGGTTTAGGGCTTAGGGTTTAATTAGGTTTTAATTCGGTTTTAATTAGGGTTTAGGGTTTAGGGGTAATGCAGCGAGTATTTCTTCTTTTAATCTTTCCGAGCTCTTGAGCAAACAGTCGTCATCCTCGTCGAGGACGAAGGACCCCGCAATGTCATTCTCCTCAGCCTCCTCCTCCTCCTCCCACTCCCTGGCCTTGGGAGCCCAGTGACCATAAGGGGGTTGACGAAAGTAGGGGGCTCTTAAAAATAGAGACCCACTCAAGTGGTAGGATCCCCTTATTATAAGGACCCCAATTAGGGTACCCCAAATTTCGGAAACCCCCCATTTTATGACCAGGGTACCCTTGTTGGGCGTTGTGGTGCTACTTTTTGTAAGGAAGCCTAGAACTCACTTCTAACCCTAAACCCTAAACCCTAAACCCTAAACCCTAAACCCTAAACCCTAAACCCTAAACCTCAAAAAAGGTCACACAAAAAGGCCACCCACTCTGAGCCTCCAAGTGGCGGAGAAGAGGCTCGATGCTGGCAGACTCTGAGGAGGTCCCTCGCAGCCCATGATGGGCATGGGCTGTGCCTCCATGATGAGCATGGGTTGTGCCTCTTAAAGGGATTTAAAGGAGGGGGGGTTTAGGGTTTAGGGTTTAGGGTTTAGGGTTTAGGGTTTAGGGTTTAGGGTTTAGGGGCCCTTCTAAGGGACCTGAAGGGGCTCTTTAGTAGGGGTTGTTGAGGGGCGACTTGGGTATCTTAGTAGCCCAGTAACCATATTGTAAGAAGGGCGCACCTTGACCCCCAAAAAAGGGAAAAGGGACTCTAGAAGGTAGATATGTTTAGGGTTTAGGGTTTAGGGAGGGGTTCCTTCTACCCCTTTTGCCTCCCCAGGCAGTCGGAGGTCGTCGTCATCGTCGTCATCGTCGTCGTCCCCAGGTGGAGGGGGTGCGGCCACCATGACAGGGACTGGAGGCAAGACCTTCCTTACTTCTTCAAGAGCCAGAGAACAAGAGACAGGTCAAAGTGTTTAAGTCTCCCTGAACCCTAAACCCTAAACCTAAACCCTAAACCCTAAACCCTAAACCCTAAACCCTAAACCCTAAACCCTAAACCCTAAACGCTGCCAAATAAGGGAACCCAACCAGCCTCAAGCGCGCCCCGTGCAAAGCGACGTCCCCAGCGAGCAGCCCCAAAAGTTAAACACTTCAACCCAAGAAGACCCAAGAGTAACCTAGGCATGAAAAGGGTTTAGGGTTTAGGGTTTAGGGTTTAGGGGTTAGGGTTTAGGGTTTAGGGTTTAGGGTTGAGGGGTTAGGGTTTGAGGTGACCCAGGAGTAGCCTAGGAAGAAAATGGGGGCCCTTTTTGCTCAGCAAGGGGAGCCACACCCTAAAAGAAGGGAAAAGGGCCTACTCTGGGTTTAGGGTTTAGGGTTTAGGGTTTAGGGTTTAGGGTTTAGGGCTAGAAGCCCGAAACCCTAACCCTGAACCCTCAAAAAAAAGATTACGGGCCTACTCTGGGTCCCAGCTATAAGTAGCAAATAAGCTTCTTCCTCTTCTTCGTTGGAAGAGGGGGCGGCCCCATCGATTCGGCATTCGCGGTGTGCAGCCACTGGTCGCCTTCCTTGGCGACCACGTGACACCCTAAACGGGTTCAGGGTTTAGGGTTTAGGGTTTAGGGTTAGGGTTTAGGGTTTAGGGTTTAGGGTTCAGGGTTCAGGGTGTAGGGTTAAGGGCTAAGAAGGGTTACGGGTTAAGGGTTAAGGGGATGGGATCTTCCCCCTTATACTAGCAGGCCTTCATAGGGATTAAAGCACGCCCTGTTATGCTCCCGATTAAGGACTGCTAGTATAAGGGGGAACATCCCAAGGTTTAGGCTTCATAGGAATTCTAGTCGTATAGGGTATAGGATGGTAGATTTCAATATAGAGCGCTGCTAATCGAAAGGAAAAATCTGTCGGATAAATAAGGTTTTGCGAAAGTGCTGCAAGTTTGCATACGAGACCAGGTGCGTCGTAACAATCGCGGGTTTAGGGTTTAGGGTGGCGAGTCGTTACTGCAGACTTTTGAAGCCTTGGCCCGTGCAGCTGCACGCTGGGGGAGCCTGTGCCCTTTCATCCACGTCGGTTCAGGTGTAAGTGTTACCGTCGGCTCAAAATAGCCCAAGAAACCTTTTTTAAGAAGGCCTTTGGGCCCAAATACCCGAAAAGTAAGAGTCCTTCGAGCCTTAAGGTTGCCATTTGGCTGTCTAGGAAGGGCAAACACCTGTTTGCCTGCTGCCTCAGGTGTCGCAATAGCCTCTTACTGTGCCAAAACTTTCGCAAACAACCCAAACTGCGCGCACTTTCCGCAAATTGGGTGTAAGGGGGCCATCACTCCATGAACCTTGTACTGATGGACAGCAAGCGCTTGCGGGGGGGGGGGGGGGGGACAGGAAGGCTGCACTGCACTTGGAGCACATTTGCGTGCACGGACAAGGAGTCAGACGGGTCTTGGGGAGGAAGTCCAACCCTCAAGGCCCTGATTACGCACAGCAATCGATGTGACCATGCCTCTCAAGCTGGAAGTCTCTCTCAACAGTCGCAAGAAGCCCTTTTCAGGCTCTGGTAGGCGAAGGTTTTCGCCCAGTTGCGAGCGACCCGTCAGGTGTTTGAAGGGACTTCGCGGTACATTTGTTCTCCTGAAAACAAGTTTTTCTGAACTGAGCACAACCAGCCATTCGTCTTACCTTCTACCTCCTTCAACACTGGCAATGCAGGGCCCTTGTTCAAAAGCTGGCTCTTCGTTAGTGCAGTACTGGTGCGCATTCTTGAGTTTGGTGTATAGGGGGTCTGTGTAAGGTATATATGGCTGCCATCTAGGGGAAGAAGATTGAGGGCCCCTTCTAGGGTCCCTGCTTATAAATCCCTTCCCATGTCGAATAAACCCAGGTTAGTTACACAAGGGAACCCATCGCCAGCAAAACAAGAAAAGAAATGCAAAAGGGCACCACTGGGCTACCAAGTATCTGATGAAATCTGGTTCGGTGCGGCATCGACGTCAGCATCTGGCGTAGTTGCATCAGTTCCTGCGCCGGCTTCGTCTTGTGCTGTCACTGAATCATGCGCAGGGCAAGCATCCTCAGGGGCGGCATCTTCAGGGCGGGCATCCTCAGGGGCGGCCTCCTCCTGCGCCAGCCACTTCATCAGCTCTTCTTTCTCCGATTTCGAGCTCGGACTTTGATGCCCGCGAGAGCTGGAGGCACCCTGGCCCATGCCTCCAAGACCCAGGGATTCCAGCACGTCGCTGTGCTTGCGGCGCTTTGACTCTGGAGGCTTGTCGCCCTTCCGCCCCAAGCCCCCAAGGCCCAGGAGACTGTTCAGCCGCATGGCTAAGCCAACAGAGACAAAACTCGCAGACTTTGGGGGAACCTACTACTTACATACTTCCCCTTGCACAGGTTGCTTGTTACTATTATGCTGCGCTCCGTTCTTCTTACTAACCGCTGGTCTTCGTCCGCACGGCTTGAGCTGAAGGTAAGCAAGAAGGCCACTGAGGCGCAACGTGAAACATGGTTTAGGGTTTAGGGTTTAGGGTTTAGGGTTTAGGGTTTAGGGTTTAGGGTTTAGGGCAACTCTGCCATCAATAGACGGCACATGTCCCTTGTAAAGGAGGGTGCAGGGTTTAGGGTTTAGGTGGTAGGTTTTAGGGTTTAGGGGGTGTAGGAGCTATAAGGTTTTAGGGTGCCATGTCCCCTTGTAAGGGTCGATCTATAGGATTATATGCACGTGCCTGCCAGGGGGTATAGGATGTAGGGTACCCTGTCCCCTGTAAACGGGTATAGGATCTAGGGTTTAGGGTACCCAGCAGGGGGTCTAGGTTTTGGGGTTGCACTTGCCCTACATAGAGTTCCCTGTTGGGGGCAGAGTGACAGGGAAATGCCCGTCTTTTATTTCCTGCCCCTACACCCTAAACGCGATGGCCCTATGGAGGCAGAACCTTCCTTCAGAGATTCACCCTAAACCCTAAACCCCCTACACCCTGAACCCTAAACCCTCAACCCTAAACTCTAACCCTAAACCCTAAACCCTAAATTGGGAACTTCTCCCCTCCCCCTCCGCCCCCACATGGACATTATAGCCGCCGAGGAGCAGATCGTGGCAGAACCTTCCTTCAGAGATTAACCCTAAACCCTAAACCCCCCGAACCCGAAATCCCCCATAACCCTAAACCCTAAACCCCAATAGAGCCGCCGAGGAGCAGATCGCGGCTCGCACCAGAGCTCTGCACAGCAGCGCAGGACGCCGTCAGGGACGAACTCCTGGGACTTCTGGCGGGTTCTTCGTGGCGAAAGGTAGGGTTTAGGGTTCAGGGTTTAGGGTTCAGTGTTTAGGGTTTAGGGTTTATGGTTTTGGGTTTAGGGTTTTGGGTTTAGGGCTGGTTCTTCGTAGGAGGGAATGAGGTACGCTATAGAATCTCTTTTGAAAGTCTGGATACGAGGCCCGAATTTCCTCCTTCCCTACGAAAAGCCTGGGGGACTTGTGGGATGTCGGACTTCGGGGTGGCTTACGGTGCCCTTAAGGGCCCATGTACCTCTTTACAGATAATACTTGGGCCCTGAAGCTACTATATCCTAGTTGTCCAGTAACCTGGGGGAATTAAAGGTCAACCGTTGGGATGAGAAGGAAATTATACTACCCCAAAAAGGTTAAAGGTTACCTACTCTACTACTAGGATATGGGAACTCCGTTAAGGCCCAAGTATATACTACACAGGTACATGGACCCTTAGGGGTCATTAGGGTTTTGGGGTGTGGGCTGGGTTACAGGGTTTGTGGGTTACAGGGTTTGTGGGCTTCCGGGGGGGTGGGGTTTAGTCTCTTGGGGGCTTTGGTTCAAGAGCGTGTTTAGGTTTGGGCCTGGGACGAACTCCTAACTCAGGTGTGGCCCGGGGCCTTCAATAGGCTTTCCAGGACAAGTTCGCTGCTTCAACGTACCTCTGAAGCCTGCGTTGCGATTTAGGACCCTAAACCCTAAACCCTAAACCCTAAACCCTAAACCCTAAACCCTAAACCCAAAACCCAAAACCCAAAACCCAAAACCCAAAACCGAAACCCATATCCCGTCCTTGGGGGCCTGGAAATTCTCGCGGCCTTGGCAACGACGAAGGCAGGGCTTCAGGCTTCATAGTTGTCCCAGTGGGTCCAACCATTATGGAATTAGGTACCCCAAAAACATACTAAGTAGGGTTTTTGGGTACATAATTCCATACTGGTACTATAGATGGACCCTCTGGGTCTAGGGCTTGCAGGTTTATGGTGTTTATAGGGTGTTTACAGCTTTTTGCAGATTTTACATAGGCCTTTTCTATATGTTTTGATAAGTGTGCTTAGAAGGGGTTAGTAATAGTAGGGTTTAGCATTTAGAGCGTTTATATTCTAGACCCGGGAGTAACTAGGAATGAAAGGGTGCCCTTTTTGGTTTAAGGGGTTTAATTCTAAGGGAACCCCAACCCTAAGCAAATGAAAAAAGGGCCTGCTCCCGGTCCTAGTCTATATATATATATAAACAGAAGCTTTGCAGTGTAGTTGGGAACCAGACACGAAGTGTTTGAATGCTGTCCACGCCAAACATCCTGAAGTCATGCTCGGCTGCTGTAAAGCTGCTGCACGTCAATCGACCTGAACCCTAAAAACTTTGCCCTAAATTGGGGTTTATTTACGAGATTCGGGGTACCTTATTGGGGGTCCGTAGTATCCAGGGATCCTACCTTATAAGGGGTGAAGGGGTCCTACTTATGAGGGCTCCCTAGGGTTGCTGTCGAAGAAGCGGGAATCCCCCTCCCCCTTAGTACCGTCCAAACATTCTCATTCCGAGAAAGCCCCATAAAGGCCCCCCTGCACGCTGAACCCTGAAGCCCACAACAGCTTAGGTTTCACAAGTTTAGGAACTTGTCTTGTTGGGTGGAGTGGGTGATCCAGGCGTTCCGGTGCTTCGGGCGGGTACTC